AACAGACACTAAGGACAGTACAGGAAAAGATACCCCATTATTCTATGTTAGGAATGCAGAGAAGAAAGTGAGGCAAAAAGGAGAAAAAATCCACACCATGTGAAGAGCTTTATTTTGTGGTGATGACCATTTTGTTAGGCACTCTGTCATCACTGCATTCAGTACTGTGGCATCTAAAGAGTCAGAGCGATTTTGAACTTACCACAATATTATTTTTGCATTGATGTCTTTCCTGTATGGAAAAGGTGATCTAACGTCAAGTTGGGATTTTTCAACTTGAGTTTTGTGGGAGTCCAGTTGGTCTGCCTCACAGTAGTCATTCCAGGCTGGCAGAGAATCAATATCCACAAATTGGGAAGGAGCACCCAAGGGATCCATGGAATGGAAACAGCAAGTCCTCTTTCCACTATCTCTTCAGCACTCCAAATCTCACTGGAGTCTTTCTGGTGCTTCAGAGGAGAAAAAAATAGGGTCACAGACCTGGATTTTCACTGAGAATAATTCTGGAAGAGTTACACTTTTCATAATGGAAAGCTGAAGAACAATTAAAGCATTTGCAGGTAGCAACGTAGTTAAGATTCACAGGCTATTTCGTTCCCAACCTATCCTCTGTATGGTTTCATTTTTTTATCTCAAAATGTTTGTGCTTGGTCTCAGTACAAAGGTGAATTGTTTTGGAAAGTCTGAATTAAGATAATTAATCTGTTTTTGAATTATCCAATGGTGAAAAAAACCCCTCATTTTCCTCACTATAAAATGTTCCAATTGGTTTGTGAACTTCACTCTTATAAAATGCTGAATCTATAAACTCCACATTTTGCAGATTTGTAGTTCAGCCTAAGAAAGAAAATTCAAATTTGAAGAAAAATGATTCAGTGTTTTAAGTAAAAAAGGTACAAAATTACACACTTATGTATACATAACAGGTTAGACTTTCCTTTTCTGACTACCTTAATACTTAAAACATCCAATCCTGCATCCTCCACTGCAAATAAAGCTCCTCTTAGGATCAGGCCCTTAGTGCTTTAGTAACATTTAAACACTTTAAAAACAAAACAGTCAAATTTGCTTGCTCTCTATTTTGCAAAAATCAATAGTGTCTAGTGGACTGTCAGTCACTAATACAAATTGAGGTCTATTTCTCCCATGCCCCCTTCAAAGGCTTGGGAAGTTTAGAACTTAAGCTACTCTTCAGTTAATTTTTAACTTTGGGTTAATTTAACTGGCAACAACTTTGAAAATCTCTGATTTCCCATATAGTCAAAAAGATGATGCATTTTCCCAGTCCTGCTCTGAATCAGCCTGGACATTCTGTAAAGCCACAAAAATTGATAGAGTGACTTGCAGTTTAGCAGTGCTCCTGGATTCATCACTGACACTAATTTTGAATGATGCTTTCTATCATCTCTGACTGAGTAAGCGAATCTGCCTCATCCTGGCAAATGATGATCTTGCCTCCATTATGCACATCTTTTTCAACTCCTGTCTGGACTACAGTAATGCAATATACCTGGACACAAACCCCTCAGTTAACTCCAAATAGTACAGAAAACTACAGCACATCTCCTCAAGAACCTGCACTACTGCAAACACAAGCAGAATACGAAGATCAAGGTCTTGTTCCTTACCTTCAAGTAAATTAGTCGGGGAGGAATTCTGCACGACTGTGCATGCGCAAAATTTATGTTCCTCACAGATTTCTTTGCTTCCCTGTAGAAAAGTGACTTTCTGATGGGGAAGCAAAGGGAAGCCACAAGAGTGGTCATGTGACCCATCCCAAGCAGTATGTTTCAGGTGCCTAGGGCAGCCATCAGACAGATAAATCACTGTGGGGCGGGGAAGACCCGGCTGATGGCTCCTACCCTGTACTGGACTCAGATGCTAGTCCCGGATGGGCTGGGGAGAATGGGACTTCCTCTTCTCCTGCATGGCATCCAGGGCCATGTCAGACCCACTCCAACATTTCTCCCTCAGCTGCAGGAAGTTCTGCAAACTCCTCCTCACCCCGCTTCCTGCGCGCATCACTTCTCAGCTGCAGAGGGAGGGATCACTGTACAGGGAGTTGCTCTCCCATCCGCCCAACCCCTGTGCATCCAGACCCGCTCATACCAAACCCTCCTGCTGAGCCTCACCCCCCCGACGAGCCCCACTCCCACTACACCTGGACCACTCTGACAAGCCACCGGCACCTGGATCTCCCCCCACTGAGTCCCAACCAGCTGCACCTGGATCCCCACCCCACTGACCCCCACTCCTCCAGCATTTGGTCCCCCTCACTGAGCTTCCCACACCCAGAAACCCCTGCCAAGCTCTATTGCTCACACATCCCAGAACCCCCCCGCCGCTCCCCCCTGCTGAGCCCCAATCATCTTCACCTGGACCGCCCTGCAAAGTGCCACTACTGTTACACCCAGAACCCCTCAACAAGCCCCTGTGCATCAAGATCCCCCCTGCACCCAGATCCCCCACAGAGCTGCCCGTACCCCCAATGCCCCAAACAGAACCCTCTCAACCCATACCTGGATCCCCCCATACCAAGCCCCTCCACACTTGGATTCTGTCTTGCTGAGCCTGCCTGCCTGCCCACACCTGGTGCACCTGGCATGGACAGGCAGGGTCCTGGGGTATTTCTGGGGCAGGCCTGGTCCTTGCACTGTGTCAGGGTTGGGTGCAGCTTCACCGCTGAATCCGCGTCCCGTGGGGAGGGGAGCTACACAGTGATCTCCCATCTCTGTGCAGCCAGTGGCCTGTGCTCCCCAATGCCATGCTGGAGCCTCCACATTTATTTGACAAATAAAATTTGCAGGATTTTAAAACATAGTAAGCAGAATTTTTAATTTTTGGTGCAGGATGCCCTCAGGAGTAAGTATTTAAAGACTTGAGCCCAGCATACTTAAAGCTATGGGATGAAGGCCACGTTTCATAACAGACACAATGGACCTCTACACAATAAGGGTAAAGCTGACTGTGTAGAAGACAGTTTCTAGCTCCAGACTGTGGAATGAACTAACACAGGAACTAAGGCTCACCCCAAAACATCACCACCTTTGGCTCCAAGTACACGGTGCACTTCTTTGACCTTGTCTTCTCTAACAGCATGTGCACTAAAATAAAAATTTTAAAGCAAAGCCAAACCAAAACACCAGAGCAACTAGCACCACAGCAGCTACTCGCATGTTGAAACTGAGAGACTGAAACAGGAACCAGTGAGAAAAAACTGTTCAAAACCCCATGAGAAAATAAAAATAGTACTATACTATGTAGCAGTCTGCCATTGAATTAAGACACACCTGGGATGAAACCTCAAACGCACTGAAGCCCTCAGATACTTGTATCGGTTTCTGACTGAGATCCAAAGTTTGTTCTTTTTGCACAAGTATACATACTTGTTGTGTTACTGAAGCATGTGGTACATTCCACACGAGCAGAAAGATTAGTAAAAACCAGAAGGGATGCAGAAAAAAGGCAACAGAAACACTTACTGGGAAGAGGGGCATATCTGAAAGGAAAGATTGAGAGTTGAAAATATATAGCTGGCAAAACAATAAACATTGGGGTGGCGGGTGTGATAACAGTGTGACCGATCCAAAGCAAGGTGACACGTGAGGTATAAATAGGAATACTATGGTCATTTCTCTCTTAGGAGAGGCTTGCAAGTGAAGTCAGTGATGTATAAGGTCTCCCGGCCTGAGAGCCCATAGCTGTGTTTCTGTCTGTGCAGCATCACACCTGTGCCCCTGGGGGCATAGAACACTTCAACACGCATCTTTCCCTTTCCCTCGATGCCTTACACAACGGAACAGCGACCCAGGACCGGAGAACACGGGCTGTGCCCCAGACAAGGGCCCCAGGCCCCCGGCCAGGATCCCGCCCCCCAGGGCCTCGCCAGGCGCAGAGCGCGGGAGCTGTGGCAGTTCCTAGACAAACGCCCGAAGCTTTTCTCAGCAGCCAAAAGCGACAGAGACAGAGACACCCCCCCCCCCGCGCCGGCCGGGACACGCGCCCCGCAACCCAACCGACTCGGAGAGACAGTTACAGGCCGCGCGGCTGCAGCGGGGGCAGGGGGCGACCGGCCCCGCCCGGGCCCCTCAACACAGAACATACACAGCGACCCCACCCTGCCTAGCAACGCCCGCCCGGGGAGCTCCTCCTTAGCAACAGCCCCCAGCGCCACCCCGTGCCCAACCGCTCGCTCGCGCCCGCCCTCCCCGCGGTCCACCCCTCACTCACAGGCCAGCCCCGCTCCCCCCATCTGGCGAGAGGGTCCCAGTGGTAGGAGTCGACTCAGCAACATCACCCCGGAAGTGGGCACTGAACCTGACCCACCCCTTCCGCTTCCGGATCAAAGCCGACCAATCCCGCACTGAACAGCCAGGATGAGCTCCTACGTCACTTCCGCCGGACTCTGTACAGCTTCCCCAGCCCGGCCACTTCTTCTTGTGCGGAACGAGAAGCGCTGTGCGCGCGCGAGTGACCCGCGGAGCCACGTGGGGGCGGTGAGCGCGGGGCCGGTGCGGGGCGGTGCGGGGATTGGGTGTTACAGCGAGCGCGCCACGGCAGCGCCTCCCCCTCCCGCCCCGTCCCCAGCGGGGTCGGTGGCCCCTGCCCGGCGCGCGCTGTCGGGTCTCGGTCCCAGCGGAGCTCGAACTAGGGCGCTGCGCACGCCGGGCTGGAAGTGGTTCCCGGCATGTGCCGGGTTTACAGTTTGGTTCAATAGCGCTCAGGTCCCCCCACTGTGCAAATTGTTCCGGCGCCCCTGCTCCTTACTGCCCCGGCGCCGGTCCCTGCCGCGACCCGGCATAGCAGTGGCTCAGGAGCGACCCCTCAGCCTAGGGGTGCGGCTTTGGCACCGTGGCGGGTCAGAGTGGTTGCTGTTGATTCCTCTGGGAGGAAAAAGTAATCCGAAGTCCACCACTACTTACTGGGAAGGAGAAATCAGGACAGTAGCGATGGTGGAGGGGGAAAGGGAACACAAAGTACATGTGACTGTGCAGTGCAATAAGGCGGAGGGGAAAAGTGAAGGTAATGTGGGGCTGTGTGTATAGAGGCATCAGGGAGGAGAGAGCTCGGGTGAGGCCTCATCTAGAATATTGCGTTCGGTTCTAGGTTAGGTGTATATGGAAAGATTAAAAACAAAATATCTATAGCAATGGCGTGATGACAAAGAAGGAGCATTGTAATTCCCTATAAATATTTGTAGGGTGGAAGGTATAATTTAGGGTGGTCCAAAGTGGCAATAATTAAGAGTAATGGGAGTAATTGTGCAAAGAAAAATGTAGACTGAATAATGGAAAAACTTAGTGCAGTCTGGCACACTGGGGGATAGTCTCCCAAGGGAAGTGTTGAGAACTCCCACGCTTTTAATGTTTGTCCGCTCCAGTTTAAATAATACTAGAAAAAGTTCTGCAGAGGAAAAGTGGACTTGATATCATCCAGCCCTAATTTCACTTTATACGTGAAATTCTTCTCAGTAATTGCTGTCTTCTCTTTATGTCCAGGTCAGCTCCCACCTGGGTCTGGAAATTGCACCATGGGTCTCACCAAGCAATATCTGCGCTACACAGCTAGTGCATTGTTTGGAGTGATTGCTAGCCAGAAAGGCAACATCGTCTATGTGACCCTGCGGGGCGAAAAGGGCCGCTATGTGGCAGTGCCAGCTTGTGAGCATGTCTTCATCTGGGACACCCGGAAAGGCGAGAAGGTGATGAGCTGTTTTCCCCCACTGTGAACCAGAATGGGATGACACTGCTGTGTTGTACAGCAGTGAGACTAGAAAAGTGTAGCTGCATGAGTTATCTTTGCTGGGAGCTCCCCATGCAAAGAGATCAAATAAACTTAGAAATGGTGGCTTCTAATATGCCAGAAGTGCCCAAAGTGCAGCCAGTGGCCATCAGCTCCTTTAGAGTTCTGTAGTCTTGGCTGGGGGGCACACTCACTGGCATTGAGATGCTATGATGGTGGGGTCATAAGAAGTGCCAGACATAGACTACAGTGGAGAGGAAATTCCAGGTTTCCAGTGTGCAGTGTAGCCAGGCAACTCAGATCAAGACAGAGTCTGGAACTTATAGTGACCATGGGCTGCATTTCAAATAAGATGAGTGCATCTGCAGTCTCCTTCCTTTTATGCAAGCTACCTGCTGATATAACCTTTAGATTATTGCTATGTCTACACTATGCAGTTGATTTAGTGGGTCTAGTGAAGACCTACCAAATCAACAGCAGATCACTCTCCAGTCGACCCCTGTACTCTACCCCCAACAAGAAGAGTAAGGTAAATCGACAGGAGACTTTCTCCCGTCAACCGCCCCAGGGTGTAGACCCAGCAGTAACTCAACCTAAGGTACGCAGTTTAGCTTGGGCCGACTTACCGCAGTAGTGTAGACATATAGCCTAAGTTTGATTGCTTCTGACACAAGTACATGATACACGTACCCTGTGTGGGGACCTTTCCTACGCAAAACTTAACTGATCCTGATTCTTTCCTTTGATCTTAAATGATTTATTCCGGTGGAAAGGAATATAAGTGTCAGTCTCACTGAGCCATTCTTTCTCGTTACTCCTAGAGTTGAGTATGAGATTTGAAGTTCCACTGTTGACAATGCAGAGCAGTACAAAAGGACATGAAGAGTACTGCTTCAAATGACATATTAGACCCAGAGCTACACTAACACAGTGCTTTAGGGGTCTTTTGGAATTCTGAACTCATGTACACCCCGTGGAAAAAAATACTTCTGTTGTATGCCTCAGAGGAGCTAGAATGGAAAGGAATTGTCCTGTGAAGAAATTTGGGGTGCCTCTTTTACTAGCAAGCAAGAGGAATCACTTTCTAGCTGTTAGACTTCTGGGTTCTAGTCCTCGTTGCACCCTGATTTGCTGTTTGGCCTGGTGACATCATGTTCCCCCTCCATGCCTCAGTTTCCTCCTTTTTAAAACTGGGATAATGGTACTCCTTCATTTCAGTAGCAGATTGCGAGGAATGAGTTTCTAAAGTACTAGGGGTCCTCAGATGGAAGGCCTGATAGACAAACAAAGGATTCTCTTCCTTCTGTTCCCTATGGGTGCGTCTAGCTCTAACACATCACAAACACCTTGTCTTCTGAAAATTACAGGTTCTCATCCTTCAGGGTCTCAAGCAGGAGGTCACTTCTCTCTGCCCATCCCCAGATGGGTTGCACTTGGCTGTTGGATATGAGGATGGATCGATCCGTGTCTTCAGCCTCCTAAGTGGTGAAGGGAATGTCACTTTCAATGGACATAAGGCTGCAGTTATGACTCTACAGTATGATCAGCTGGGAGGCAGACTGGTGTCTGGCTCAAAGGTGAGAGCTGGTAGGAGAAGCCAAGTCTGGAATTCAGTTCTTTCATAAGCAGGGAGGACTAGCTGCTCTGTGGAGATAACTGTGGCTATGTCTACAAGTCAAGTGGCTTGGCTGGGAAGGGGCGGATGGTGCACTGGAATAGCTGGAGGAGTGTTAGTGAGAGGATCTGGGTCAGATTCACAGCTGAGTTGCATCACAGATCTTTATGGAAGGGCCGAAGACTGCAATAGGAAGGGGTGCTGTAGATCAGGACTAAAGTGCATTAGCGGACCTGTGCATGGGGGAGTATAGGGCTGGAATGGTGGGGGTACTACAGGCCGGGCATGAAGTACATCAGCAGAACTGTTCATAGAGAGCCAAGGACTGGAATAGCAGGGGGGCTGCAGGGCAGGACTGAGGGGCACTGGCAGAGCTGTGTGTGGAGCCCAGGACTAGAATAGCGGGCGGCTGCAGACAGGGACTGAAGTACCCGGGCAGAACTATTGAAGATGGGGTTTGCTAGGTCTGAAACAGCAGGGGGTGCTTCAGGCCAATACTAAGGTGCACTTGTAGAGCTGCATATGTGTGTGCGGGGAGAACAACTCCTGGCTTTATGAGCCCTTCAGTGCGTACTAAAACTCAAATTTAGGGGAAAGCAGATTCTGCCTGTCTAATGTAGTGTATTGGGTCTCATGGCAGAAGATTCTGCTGATGTCCATCCTTTGTGATATCTCTTTCCTTTCAGGACACAGACGTCATTGTGTGGGATGTCATCAACGAGAGTGGGTTGTACCGGCTGAGGGGGCACAAGGATGCTGTCACGCAGGCGCTCTTCTTGAGAGAGAAGAACCTCCTGGTTACCAGGTACACTGCCTGCCGAGCTTGCTGAATTGAGGATTCAAGGCTTTACTCGTCTATCGCGTCATGTCAAAACCTATGGACTTCATACACAGAAATGAAGTTAGATTTCATAAATGGTGCTCTTTTCGCAGAATGAACATATTCTTAATAAGCTTCTTTAAAAAAGCCTTATCATAACATACTAACCTTAACTGTGAGCCAGAGACTTTTTAAAATACATTTGTTATCTTGATATCTAAATGTTTTTAAAGAATACCATTAAGTGGGGAATATCAGCTAATGAGACACTGTCAACTTAAAAATAATTATTCTCTGAATAGTTTTTAAATCTACTGTTAAATATGGTACCTGAGATTACTATAACAGAAGATACATTTATACTGCGTCCCATCATGGCTGGACAGATGTGCTAGCTCTGCTTGAGCTAGCTTGCTAAAAAGAGCAATGTAGTGAGCTGGCGGCTTGGGCTAGTCACCTGAGTACATACCCAGGAGGTCTGGGTGGGTTTGTGCTCTAATGTGCTCCCAGCTGCAGTGTATGTGTACCATGAGATTAGCAGTATGTGTACAGAATGCATTTGACAGTACTTTGTGTAAAGTCACTTTTGCTTTTTCCCCTGTATAATCAATTGGATTCCCTTTTGCTTGTGAATCTTTCACACAGTAATAGGACAGAAAAATAATTTTTAAAAACAGGGAAGTGATTATAGAACCATTGAAATTGATAGGGAGACATGGGCACATGTAGTACCTGAACTGTCTTTTAACTCCTCTTAACATTCACTAGCTTTAAAGATGACTGTGTTGCTTGGCAGGAGAATTTTTTGATGAAATTGTTTTAAGAATCTTTTATTTACTAGATTTATGTATCAGTTCAATAGAAAAAGTGTATCACATCAATTTAGGGTAAAATTATGCTGGTATCTTTTATTTTTCAGATTATTGATGAAATAATAGTGTTTATTTGGGGAGTCCGGTGGCAGCTTAAAGACTTAGGCCTTGGCTACACTTACCCGCTAGTTCGGCGGCTGGCAATCGAACTTCTGGGTTCGACTTATCGCGTCTAGTCTGGACGCGATAAGTCGAACCCGGAAGTGCTCGCCGTCGACTGCGGTACTCCAGCTCGGCGAGAGGAGTACCGCGGAGTCGACGGGGGAGCCTGCCTGCCGAGTGTGGACCAAGGTAAGTTCGAACTAAGGTACTTCGAACTTCAGCTACGTTATTCACGTAGCTGAAGTTGCGTACCTTAGTTCGAATTAGGGGGGTAGTGTAGACCTGGCCTAACAGATTTACTTGGGCATAAGCTTTCATGGGTAAAAAACCCACTTCTTCAGATGTACGGCTACCCCTCTGATACTTGTTTATTTGGTGTTAGGGTTAAAGCTGTGTTGTGAAGAAATATGCACTTGTTAGTTTATAAAATGGCTTTATTTTCACAATTTTCTTAATATTACCTTCTTTAGTGTTGGTAAATGAAGATAGTTCTTAATTTTAAAATAAATAGATGGGGGGTTGCTATATATTTCTATGGAGATGCTTGGGCCAGTTATGCCCTATTCCTCATAACAAAGAGGAATATCAGCCTTGAACATAGTTATGACTCCTTATTTAAGGCTGATTTTTGTTTTTCCACCGGAGATTTGACCTCTTTGTTATGAAAACTACAGCATATTCTTACCCGGTCATTCAGCGTTTACTGAGTACAGCATTTTCTTAACCATTTACATGTACACTTAACTCATTTAATAGCTTGTGTTGAAACTAATTTCAAAACAAGTCCTTTAAGAAATTTAGTGCTTGGAGTCCGACATTTTTCCTCCTGTCGTTGCTCTGAAAGATTCTGTGATTGCATTTGGGCGTCAGGGCTTGAACGGCTCCCCATAACGCTGCATCCGTGGCCCTACTGCATACTGAGGCAGGAACACGCGGGTGTCGTTAAAGTGCAGACACATTGGGACACAAGGGAGTGGGCTCCCTGCATCCTCTCTCTGCACAATGCTGGTCTCTAACAGCACTCTTCTTCTCCATCCAGCCCGTGCACATCCCCTCACTTATGGCCATTTCCCCAGTCTTCTTGGCTCCCTATATTGGTGTTTTCTGGTATTGGAGGAGCTCTGTGGGGGGAGAGGGAGAAGAAAGTGGAGATGTGGGGGCAGGGAGAAGCAAGGTCCCAATGTCTTTGCTTATGTATCAGCTCCCCTGCTAGTGCTGACTCAGTGTGCAGTGGAGCTTAAGGTATGTCTACATTGATGACTGTGTACCCAGGCTTCTTGTCAGGCTTGTACGTGTGTTGCTGCCTCTTCCTGGCACCCAAGTTACCAAGTCATCATTACAGCTGTTACTTACAGGTATACCTACCCATGCTACAATCACACTGCTTGCAGTGTAGAGGTGCCCTGAGGCTGCCGTGCCAAGGGAGAGCCTTTAATGTGCTGGTGTTTTGACAAAAAAAACCCGTTGATATTAGTGGAAACAAAATTGGGCATGGAATTAGACAAAGTAATTGCTAATAACTTTTTACTTTATTACAACTAGGGCTTTTGAGTAATTGCAGTTAACTCATGCGATTAACTCAAAAAAATTAATCGCGATTAATCGCACTGTTAAGCAATAGAATACCAACTGAAATTACAACGCAGAATACAAAGTATACAGTGCTCACTTTATTTTTTATTACAAATATTTGCACTGTAAAAAGATAAAAAATAGTATTTTTCAATTCACCTCATACAAGTACTGTAGTGCAATATCTTTATCGTGAAAGTGCAGCTTACAAATGTAGGTTTTTTTGTTACATAACTGCACTCAAAAATAAAACAATGTAAAACTTTAGAGCTTACAAGTTCACTCATCCTACTCCTTGTTCAGCCAATTGCTAAGAGAAATACATTTGTTTACATTTACGTGAGATATTGCTGCCCACTTCTTAATTACAATGTCACCTGAAAGTGAGAACAGGCATTCGCATGACACTGTTGTAGCTGGCATCGCAAGATATTTATGTGCCAGATGTGCTAAAGATTTCATATGCCTCTTCATGCTTCGGCCATTGTTCCAGAGGACATGCTTCCAGGCTGATAATGCTTGTTTAAAAGATAATGCGTTAATTAAATTTGTGACTGAACTCCTTGGGGGAGAATTGTATGTCTCCTGCTCTGTTTTACCAGCATTATGCCATATATTTCATGTGATAGCAGTCTCAGATGAGACCCAGCACATGTTCATTTTAAGAACACTTTTGCTGCAGATTTGACAAAATGCAAAGAAGATACCAATATGAAATTTCTAAAGAGAGCTACAGCGCTTGACCCAAGATTTAAGAATCTGACGTGCCGTCCAAAATCAGAGGGATGAGGTGTGGAGCATGCTTTCAGAAGTCTTAAAAGAGCAACGCTCTCATGTGGAAACTACAGAACCCAAACCACCAAAAAATAAATTCAACCTTCTGCTGGTGGCATCTGACTCATGCTGATGAAAATGAACATGGGTCTGTTTACACTGCTTTGGATGGTTATCAAGCAGAACCCGTCGTCAGCATGGACGCATGTCCCCTGGAATAGTAGTTGAAGCATAGAAGGACATATGAATCTTTAGTGCATCTGGCATGTAAATATCTTGTGACATTAGCTACAACAGTGCCATGCAAATGTTTGTTCTCACTTTCAGGTGACGTAAACAAGAAGCAGGCAGCATTATCTTCTGCAAATGTAAACAGACTTGTTTGTCTGAGCAAGTGGCTGAACAAGAAGTAGGACTTATTGGACTTGTAGGCTCTAAAATTTTACATTGTTTTATTTTTGAATGCAGGTTTTTTTGTACCTGAACTTACAAATGTAGAATTAACTTTCATGATAAGAGATTGCACTACACTACTTGTATTCGGTGAATTGAAAAGTACTATTTTTTTTGTTTTTTACAGTGCAAATATTTGTAATCAAAAATGAAGTGAGCACTGTACACTTTGTATTCTGTGTTGTAATTGAAATCAATATAATTGAAAATGTAGAAATGTCCGAAAATATTTAAATAAATGGTATTCTATTATTAACAGCGCGATTAATCGCATGATTAATTTTTTTAATCGCTTGACAGCCCTAATTACAACCTGTTATTGCACCCTGTTTCCTTCAAGTAAACCAGGAAACGTGACTCCTCAAGGAGATTTAATTATCTGGGGAATGTAAAGGGGATAGTAACAACCTGTATTTGTTTCTTTGGGCACCTTGCAAATGGAAAAGTCCTAAAACCTCTCATAAGCTAAAATGCAGCTCTGTCTGGTGCATTGAATTTGACACAGATCATTACACGGTTCATTAGGACAGGCAATGAAGAATATTGTATCAACTGAAAATACAAGGGGAATTTAGGGAGACCCAGTGTTGGAAATTTGGCCAGCGCACCAGGCCTGACACCCTTGCCCTTAAAGAAAGCAGAATGGTTTCTCCATTACACTAGGCTGGGGTTCAGTGCTGACTCTAGGAGGTGCCTCCTAATGAATCACCAGCTCATATTTCTGTATTGCCTGTGTTTTGCTTGATCTCTTATCCTGACTCAGCTTAGCTTGGGAGACCTGCTGAGATCCTAGCCTAAATAAGTCTGACCTCTGACATCTTGCAGCATGCTTTACCTTTTGTGTTTCTTACTCTCTTCAAAGCGCACAGTTTTGGCTGAACTCTGGGGACCTTGCCTCATGTCTGGGTGATGTCATTTGTTTTTTTCAGTGGTAAAGACACCTTTGTGAAGTGGTGGGACTTGGATACGCAGCACTGCTTCAAAACACTGGTTGGACACCGTACTGAGGTAAATAAAATTAAAGCTGGAGAGAGGGAGTTAGTTCAGTACAAGTATCACAGCACACGGGCTGCAAGGTAGCTTCCATTGTTACATCCACACTGCTCAGGATTGGATTTTTTTTAGGTTGTAAACACAGCCCCTATGAAATATTTGTGGTTGGCTGTTGTGAAGAGGGGACAGGTGAGAAAGCCTTGTCTGTTGAAGAGGCTTGTACCACTCTTGCTGGGAGTGATATTTCCAAACTAGATGTCCTTGTGCAGTATCCTACATAGCAGGGGCTTGGGCTCTCTGTTCTCATTTTCCCTTTTAAATTAAAAAAAAAAAATAAAGAAATTCAGTGCAAGAATCCTGTTACATACAACATTAATGAGGAGATTGAAATCCACCGACATGATGAATTCCTTGGCCAAAGCCCTGGTAGCAGTGTTAACTTTGTCCTTTGTATATCGGCATCTTAGGGCAGGAACATTGCAGGCTATTGTTTGTTGTACTGTCTTCAGGAGCTACTGTCTTTCAGCTAAAAGGTTAACTGCAAAAAGGAAAAATCTTGTTTTTTTTTTGTTTTTTTTTTTTAAATTAGGTATATAAAGAGACCGTATTTTCCCCCCGTCAGTCCCCCCCCCTCCCAACACCCTCTCCAAGCAAACAAAATCCCAAGCAAACCAAAACACAAAACAAACAAAATCCCCCAGACCCCTTCAAGGGGATAACACTAAATCTCTATCCTGGAGGGATGTTGTATGGCTAAATTCATTAATGTTGTTGGGGTGTGCTGATACTGTGGTGGTGGGAGACCATATACCTAGACATAAAAGATGCTTCTTGGTGTTTTCTCCTTGGCAGGTGTGGGGACTAGCCTTTGTGTCACAAGAGAAGCGTCTCATCACTGGCGCTGCAGACAGTGAGCTCAGGGTGTGGAACATTACCTACATCCAGGAGGTAAGAACTGAATGCATCATCTCGGTCGCTTTGCTCTGGAGTGGATTGAACTGGAACACAGCAGGACTGAGTGGCTTTCTGAGATGTGGTCAGTATCCATCCAGGACACTCTCAATGTGAAGCAAATGTTGTTTGATGGCTTTAACTGTATGTTTCTACTGGCTCCCAGCTCTGTTGTAGTTCTGTGCAAACTGCCTTTGTACGTGTGTGGGAGCTGTCCTAAGAATGGGGCACTTCTTACTACAGGATCAGGCAGAGTGAGAAGCTGGAGGAAATTCTTATCTGGGGACATGCATGGTGGCTGCAGACCACTCCTTCTCTTTGTTTAAATTGGAGTTAGCCAAAAAAGCATGAAATGACTGGTGGCCACCCTCCTCTTCACTGTATGGGTGTGGCTTGTGGAGAGGACAGGTTTTGACATCCAGTGCTTCACTTTGGTCTCAGGAGAAGGCCACTTGGATTGGGGTGGTGCAACGTGTGCTGGAACTGATGGTCTGCAGCTGGCTTCATTTCCTGCCAAGTACATGCAGCCCTCGGTGTCCCAGTCAGCTGCTGATGGGGACCTCGGCTGGGCAATATTTGGGAACCCTGTTTTAGGCTGCATTGTGGAAGCTCTTCTGTAATGGGCTGGTTCCATTTGATTACCATCTTAGGGCTTCATTTCATAGAGCATCTTTCATCCTGATTGTTCTCCTGAGTAGTTCAGAATGAAAGCTGTGACAGTGTTAAATGGCTGGAGGGGATCGAGGTATAGGTGGGAGGGAAGCCAGGGTGTGCTAAGTGTATTTTTTTTCTTTGTCTGCCACAAGCAGGCAACAGACCCTAATGAGCCAGAATCCAAGAAAAGCAAAGGGTCTCTAGCTAAAGCAGAAAAGACTTCTGAAGTGGATGAGATCTCAGACCTGGATGAGACGCCGGAGGAGGTAACCTTTTTCCCCACTCTGGCTAAGTGGTGCAGGTTCACAGGGTGTTTGTTGTGCTGTCAGTGAGGGTAGATACACAGCTCAAATAACTAAATGGGGGTTTGGGGACAGACCTGGTTATCTTGCTGACACTTGCCTCGCTCTGTTGGCTTTGTGCCCTGGAGATGATCTCTAGCGCTTCTAGAGAAGACACCCCGACCCATAAGCAAGGAATCACACCAGTGTGTTCTACCTTCCTCAGGAACAATCTCTCACACTTCCCCAAATACCCCCAAAATAGCAGCAGCAGCCTGTGCCTGTATTTGCTGGTAACCTGTGCCAAAGAAATCCCCAATGTAAGCATATTGGCAGGTCTCTAGAAAGGCTTGGCGGTGCTAGCAGAGCTCTTTCCTTGTAGGAAAGAGACTACAATAAAATGGTCACTTTCCACCTGCCTCTGTTCAGTGCTGAAACTGATTCACCTAGGACTTATTAACAGTACCCTATGTCATAACCAGGGATCCTAGTTTTCTCTGATTTTAAAAAACCCACAAAAATCCCCATTTCCCCACAATTAAAATGGAATGCTGAACTTTAGTTTCCCTCGCCACGATATATATAGGTATCAGTTTAACACAGTGTTTTATTGATATACAATAGAACCCTGTTTATCCAAGCCTCCGGTATCTGGCTCTCTGTATTAACTGAACTATCAGCCGTCTGGGGCTGACTGCAGTGGGGCTCCCGTGGTCAGTGCTGTGTGGCTGAGTGCCCAAGCCCCACCTTAAAATAAGGGATAGAAAGCCAATCTTTGCCGATCCTCCTGATTATCCCAATTTTTGATTATCTGGTTCCAGTCCCAATTAGATCAGATACATCGGGTTCCACTGTAAATTTAAAGCACATTCAAAAATCAACTACAAGAGGGGGAGGTTGCAGGCATTAATAAGTGGCACTAGTACTTTCAGTAACATTTAGTTAATAGTTAATACATGTTTTTATTTTTTCACAAAATTTAAAAACTAAAGGTTCTCTGTAAAAACACAAATTTCACATTTTTCCGGGATAAATGGATTTCGAAGAACCCTGGTCATGAGAGTCTCAGAGAGTGGTGCTGCCATGTTTAGAATCAGCTCCTATTGTGGGAAGCCTCTTCCACTTAGGTCAATCAGCACCTGACAACCTTTCACTAAATTCCTCCTCTCTGGATCACTCACTCACCTGTTGGCACTTCCAGAATCCTTTGAAGATTTCAGCTTCACTCATTAAGTTATAGCTAGACACGCAGCCTTAATAACTGTTCCTTCCTTCCTTCCTCCAGGAAGTTTCTCTGTCTCTATTTTTAAGCAGGTAATTAAATGCTCTCTCTCCCCCCCACCTTTCTCATCTCTCTCCTGCAACAGGAACTAAAAGCTGGTGCCTTACTTTTATAGAAGTTCAGATAAATTCCCTTCCAGTTAGTGACATGCATGTTTCAGTCCATGAAAGAATGTTGGTTCTCCGATACAATGCAAGAAACATAAGTTAAATTTGTGCCTGACACAAATGTTTGTTTGCTGTTAGTTCCCACCTCTTCCTTGTCTCTTTTGAATGCTAGTCAGATGTTGTAGACTCTGCCCTTTCATTGTTGTATCTAAAGACTTGCTTGACCTTTCAGACTACAATTGTTTTGCCTTTCTGTATCCTTGTAGCGCCTCCTGAGGTGCAACAAAGCTGGCTCCATCATGCGGGAAGGAAGAGACCGAGTAGTTACTCTCGCCACTGACCGGACAGGCAGGATCCTAGCCTGCCATGTAAGTAATATGCTTTGGGGGCTTTTGCTAATGGACTACAGAGGAGGTTCTGTTGTGTGTCTCAGGGACTCTCCACTGCAGCAGCTTCTTAGGCAACTTGCTGCTAGTGTTAACTCTGTGAATTTGTCTCCAGGGAACAGACTCTGTTCTGGAAGTATTTTGTGTCCTTACTGAGGATGAAATTTGCAAGAAAAAGGAAAAGAAAATGAGAAAAGCAAAGAAAAAAGCCAAGTAAGCTCTGTTTTTGTAAGTTGATGATGTCCACGTGCTGAGAATTGACAAAAGGCCCATCCAGGGAGAGGGTGCAATGAATGAATCATGAACCATTTGCAGTTAGTCTGCTGTTAACATGTTTGTCTGTTCCTGGCTTGTTGGTGCTGGTGTGAGCCACGTTGTTCTCTGCTCCCAGTAATTGTGAGAAAATCACCTTCCATCTGATTCTCTTGCAAGAAGTGAATGGGATGAGGGGATGGACAGAACACTCCTGGTAAAGCCCCACTTGTACATCACCATCTATGACTCAGGAGAGGCACAAAGTAAATACACTTCCCAGTGCGAAAGCTGGTGGTGCTAGGCTGAATAACCAGTGTCGCTTTGACATCTACAGATTGTGAGCCTTGAGGTGGTATGTGCCAGGTTCAGATTGGGGCAAATTGTCTTTTAGTGGACAGCCTTTTATTATAAGTCTATTTTATGCTTCTCCAGTGTCCATCATTCATACATCCCCTAGTGTCTAACAGGTGCCTCACAATAGCCCTGGGAGGTAGGTGAATGTTAGCTCGCTTCATGGGAAATCTGAGGCACATGGAGGATACATCTGTTTATATTTTGGTAGTGCCTAAGGGCCAGAATTAGGAATCAGGACCCCATTTTTCTGAGCTATGTACAGACATGGAACAAAGCAATGATCCCTGCCCCTGAGAGCTGTCAGCCTGTTGGCTTGTCTACGCTTGAATGTTAATTTGGATTAAGGTAGAGTATGAATTTAAAGCACAGAAGCCATTCTTGAATAACTCCATGCGTGGACAAGCCCTAAGTACATGGGTGGGGAGGGATGCAATTAAGTTGGTGTCTTGAACAAATTTCAACAGTGATATCTACTTCCTGCCTCCCTAAATTGCTCTGGTGGTTTCAGTTTGATAGAGTATTCTCTTGCACTTCCTGTCCTAAACCTGTGGCTTGTTGCTGTGCTCCGATAAACAATTTCACCTTACTGGAGTAGGTGGATTCTCCTCACTGAATAGTTCTCATAGCAGGGTGTGGTTTGATTGCCATCTTAATAAGATGGTCTAGGATCATTATTCTCTAACTTTGCAACAAGAGTCCTGGGATCTCTTAAATTCTTCAGGATTGCCAGCAGCGTTGTTGGCCATCAAGGTCTGCACTGAAGAGCATTGCACCTCCACTAGAACGGCACCTGTGTCAGCGCTGGATAAGGGTCCAGCTAGTTTAATTCGTAGAGGAGTTGCAGTTAGTTTGTTAATTTTTGGGGGCTGGGCGGTGAATGTGTCTGTACATTTCTGTCCCATGTTAGCCTATGACTGGACTGGCAGTGCCTGGTAACCTGATTCCCAATGGTTGTCTGACTTTTCTAGACCGAAGTCTGAGGAGGAGGAAGAGGAGCCTGAAGGAAGCGTTGAGATGAGTCTGCAAGAAGAGATTCAGCGAGTCACTAGCATCAAAGCTTCTGCTAAAATCAAGTGAGTGCAAAACCCTGTTCTGGGGTCATTGCTGCAGCTCAAGCACCCATTGAGGGGGCCATGACTTGGGGAGAATTTGTATTTTACAAAGGTGGCTCATCTGAAAAGATGAGAAGCTGAGACTCCATAGAACTTAGAGCTGTGGAAAGGCCTGCAGGATCCCAGTTAGTCCACCTCCACCCCCATATCCCTACAGTGTCTTCACAGCCCTTCCATCAAGATTGTTCCCTGCAAGGGATTCTCTAGGGCAGTGGTTCTTAAACTTTTGTACTGGTGACCCCTTTAACATAGCAAGCCTCTGAGTGCCTCTCCCTCCCCCCCCCAAATTAAAAACACTTTTAAATATATTTAACACCATTATAAATGCTGGAGGCAAAGTGGTGTTTGGGGTGGAGGCTGACAGCTCGCGACCCCCCATGTAATAACCTCTTGACCTCCTGAGGGGTCCCAACCCCCAGTTTGAGAACCCCTGCTCGAGGGGCTTGCCTCATCTAGTTTTAAATGACCGGTCTGATGGGGCTTCTACTGCTGCCTTTGTTAGACTATTCCACTGCTGACTGCCTCCCCTATCAAGAAGTTGTTCTTGGTGTTTTCCTTTAGTTTATATCATCTTGTTTCTTCTAGTTATGACCCTGACTTCTCTTTGTCCATTTAAACAGGTCGTTTGACTTGATTCTGTCTCCGAAAGGAGAGCTGAAGGCCACCTTACTGCTCCAGAACAATACCATCGAGTCATACATCCTGATCCCATCAGCACAGGTCCCCCAAGTTGTCCGTGCATCCAAGATAACCATTGGAGGTCACCGCAGTGATGTCAGGACACTGGCTTTTAGCTCTGACAACATTGCTGTCCTCTCAGCTGCTGCTGAATCTGTTAAGATCTGGAACAGGTGTGTGTTCTGATTCTGTAAATTCTTCTTCGTCTGCCAAGAGTCCTTCTCCCAAAGGTTGGGGCTGTTCAGGTTAGAGGGGAGAATGGGAAATGGAGAGGGAAATGATCCCAAGGAATACAAAGTGATGAATTGGAATAGAGAAGGTGGATGAGGCACTCTGTTTACTCTTTCTCATTATACAAGGACAAGGGGATGCTTCTTTCGTGAAACTGAAAGGCAAGAAATTAAAAATGCACTACTAACCAAGGGAAGTCATTACCACTAGATATCATTGAGGCTAAGAGTTTAATGGGGTATATAAAAGGACAGCTCTCTGGATATTGAGGATATCCACAGTCTTGGAATCAAAGAATTGTAGGGCTAGAAGTCACCTCAAGAGGTCATCAAGTCCAGCTCCTTGCATTGAGTCAGGACCAAGTAAACCTAGACCATCTCTGATAAGTGTTTGTCCAGCCTGTTCCTGAAAACCTCCAGTGATGAGGATTCCACAATCTCCCTTGCAAGCTTATTCCAGAACCTACTGACCTTTATCGTTAGAAAGTTGTTGTTGTTTTTTAATATTTAACCTAAATCTCCCTTTCCTCATAGGTCAGGTCTAAACCTTTTATCGTTTTCATTGCTATCCTCTGGACTCTTTCCAATTTATCCATATCTTTCCTGAAGTGTGATGCCCAGAACTAGACAGAGCACTCCAGCTGAGGCCTCACCAGTGTCGATTAGAGGGGACAGTTAGCTCCCATGTCTTATGTACGACACTCCTGTTAATACAGCCCGGAATGGTATTAGTCTTTTTCGCATCTGCATCACGTTGTTGGCTCATATTTAATTTGTGAACCACTATAACCCTCAGATTCTTTTCAACCGTACTACCACCTAGCCAGTTATTCCCCATTTTGATTTTTCCTTACTACGTGTAGTATTTTGTACTTTATTGAATTTCATCTTGTTGATTTCAGACCAATTCTTTAATTTAACGTTTTGAATTCTAATCCTGTCCTCCAAAGTGCTTGCAAACCCTCCCAGTTTAGTGTCATCTGCAAATTTTATAGGTGTTCACTCCACTCCATTATCCAAGTCATTAATGAAAATATTGAATAGGAGTGACCCTTGTGGGACTCCACTATATACTCTCTCAGTCTGAAAGCCAACTATTGGTAACTACTTTGAGTACGGTTTTTCCGTTTTTTTCTTAGTGTATGCACAACAAGCCTCATGTGGCACATGACCAGGATCCATCACTGAATTTGGTCTGTTGGTTGGATCATTAGCTTCCCTGGCCCAATCAGTTTTGCACCCACCTTATACTAATTTCATCTAGACCACATGTCACTAGTCTACTTGTGAGAATGTCATGTGGGACTGTATCAAAGACATTACTAAAATCCAGTTTTGTCATGTCTATAGCTTTCCCCTATCCACTAGGCCAGTAACCCTGTCAGGGAAGGAAATTAGGGTGGTTTGGAATGATTTATTCTTGATAAATCCATGCTGGCTATTCTCTATAACCCTGTTATTCTGTAAGTGCTTACAAATTCTCATCTCTGTCCTTCAACAGGAACTAAAAGCTGGTGCCTTACTTTTATAAAAGTTCAGATAAATTCCCTTCCAGTTAGTGACATGCATGTTTCAGTCCATGAAAGAATGTTGGTTCTCAGATACAATTGTTTAATAATTCGTTCTAGTATCTTTCCAGGTATCAAACTTAGGCTGATTGGTCTATAATTCTCTGGATCCCCTTTTAAATATAAGTACTATATTGGCCCTTCTCCAGTACTCTGGGACCTCATCCTTCCATTCTCCATGAGTTCTCAGAGATAACTGCTAACAGTTCTGAGATTGCTTCAGCTAGTTCCATAAGTATCCTACGTTCATCAGGCACTGTTGACTTGAATACATCTTACTTCTCTAAAACAGCATACTGGGTTAGATGGACCATTGGTCTAACCCATAAGGCCATTCTTATGTTCTAAATATTTTTAACGTATTCTTTTCCTATTTTGGTTTGCGTTCCTTTCCCCTTGTTAATATTTATTGTGTTGAGAATCTGGTCCCCATTAATCTTTATAGTGAAGTGTGAAGCAAAACAGGCATTAAACACCTCAGTCTTTTTAATGCCATCAGTTATTAGTTCTCCTGCCCTGCTAAGTAGGGGACCTAAACTTTCTTTCCTCTTTCTCTTGTTCCTAACATATTTAAGGAACCTCCTCTTATTGTCTTTTATGTCCCTTGCTAGGTGTAACTCATTTTGTTCCTTAGACTTTCTGATTTTGTCCCTATGTGCTTGTGCCATTCTTTTTGTACTACTCCTTGTCAATTCATCCATATTTCCACATTTTGTAGGATTCCTTTTTGATATTTAGGTCATTGATGGAGCCATATTGGCCTCGTACTATTCTTCCTGTCTATCCTTTGCATTGGGAGAGTTTGCAGTTGTGCCTTTAATATTGTTTCCTTGAGAAACTGCTAGCTCTCCCGAACTCTGTTATCATTTAGATTTTCTTCCCATTGCATCTTACCTACCTGTTCTCTGAGGCTGTTCAAGTCCACTTTGTCCTTATTCTGCTTCCCTCACTTATTCCTTGCCTTGGAATGATATAATCTATTATTTCATGATCACTTTCACTGAAACTGGCTTCCATCTTCAGATTCGCAACCAATTCCTCCCTGTTGGTCAGAATCAAGTCTAAAATGGCTGTCCTTCTGGTTACTACTTCCATTTTCTGAAACAAAAAGTTGCCCCCTATACATTCCATGTAGTGTTTGGAAATTTTGTGTTTTGTCATATTACTTCTCCAACAGATGTCTGGGTAGTTAAAGTCCCCCATTACTACCAGATCTTGTGTTTTGGATATTTCTGTTTGTTCTAGAAATACCTCATCCACTTCTTCCAGATTTGATGGTCTAAAGTAGAGCCCTTTATGTCACCCTTATTTTTTTCCCCCCTTTATCTCTACCCAGAGACTTTGCCTCTCACCTCCTTCTGGACCTTAGAACATGTATGTATATATATTCTTGATGTATAATTAACATCCTCTTCCCTTTTTTCCCCCCATCTGTCCTTCCTGAACAAGCTGTATTCTTCTATACCAATATTACAGTGATAAGATTTATCCCAACAATTAAGTCATAATTTAGCTAATGTATTAATACTTCCAGTTCTTCCTGTTTATTCCCCATAGTCCTTGCATTTGTGTAAGGACATCTAAGATGTTGAGCAGATTCCCCCACTGATTTTTCCCTCTTGTTGCTCCTATGACTCTATTGTAATTTTTCATGTCTCCCCCCACAACATCTAACCCTCTTAAGGTTGCCCTTCTTTATGCTCACCTGTGGGCTGTTGTCATCTGCCCCCTTTGAACCTAGTTTAAAGGCTTCCTTACTAGGTTGGTGAATCAGCATGCGGAGATACTCCCCCCTTCTTGGGTCAGGTGGACCCCATCTCTTCCCAGCAGTCCTTCTCCCCGGAACAGCATCCAATGGCAAAGGAAGCCGAAGCCCTCCCCTCAACACAATCTGCAGAGCCATGCATTCATCTCCAGACTGTGCATGTCCAGGCCTGGGTCTTTACCCTCAACTGGGAGGAAGGACAAGAAAAACACCTGGCACCCCATCTCCTTCACCCTTGCTCCCAAAGCCCTGTAATCACAGTTGATCTGCTCAGTATCATTAGGGCCCAGATGGATGAGCAGCATGGGGTAGTGGTCAGAGGGACGGATGAGCCTCAGCAGTCTTTCTGTTGCATTTTGGATGTGGGCTCAATCAGTCTCCTTCCTGCAGAGTAGCCAGTTCTCTTTCCTCCTCTGGTGTACTGTAGTTATCTGAGGTTGGCTAGCATCCTCCATCCTGGATGTTTCCGTGTGCATCCTGTCGATTGAAGTCCTTGCCACTCCTGCAGCTCTTTTACCAGCTTCCTGAGGGACTCCACCAACACACACTTCTCATACCAGGTGGTTCTCCCTGCCTGGATTTCTTTGGTGGGGATATTCAGGCTGCATTCCCAGCAAGTCAAGACCAGAACCTATGTGGAAGTCTCCAGGGTCAGGATGCCTGTCTCGTGGAGTGTTCCAAGAGGTGCAGGCACAGGAAGAGCTAGCAGTGGTGTTGCTGACGTGCCGTTTTCCTCCCATTGTGGGCTCTTTCTTGTAGAGTACCTGCCAGTTGTGGGGTGAAAAAAATCACACATGCTGATTATTTTTCCATGTGGGATTCTAATCCTGTGTTTTCTGACATAAACCAACCACTAACAGCGTGGGCCTAGGGAAAAACTTCATCCATGGACATAGCTTTGGGTTTTCTTGTACCTTCTCTGAAGCATCTGATGCCAGCCACTGTTGGAGATAGGATGTTGGACTGGTTGGGTCACTGTTCTAACCCACGATGCTATCGCAGAGCTCCCTCACAGTCACTGACTCCTCAAGCACTACTCCCCTGGGACATTGCTATCCTCTGAGAACTCCTCCTGCCCTGCTCCCTCCTCCTGCCCTGCTCCCTCCTCCTCTCTGAGCCAGCTGTTTTCAGTTATTTTGTGAGGGAGAGGTAGCAGCCTCCCTGTTCTCTCCCTCTCTGATGTAGGGAGCAGGTTTGGGGATCCCGTAGATTTTCTGTTAGGATCTAGCATCTTAGAGGTTCTTGGGTGGGCAATTAACCTTCCTGTGGGCTAAAGCACTGAGGCTTTGATTCTAGGTGGCACTTGTCCTACCCCAGCCAATGCAATTTCTCACAAGCCTGCTGGGCTTAGCATTTGCCCTGCCAAGCTCATAATACCCCACAGTGTGATAGTCCTAGCTGGCTGAAGTACCCCGTTGCTGCCATGGGCTGCTCTCCGTCCCTCTTGACAAGAATGAGCCGGGGGCTGACTGTGTGCTCAGTTGGCTTTCAGGGAAACCTTTTCAGTGCAGTTCTGGGGTAGCAGCATTTGAGCTGGAGGGCCAGGCTCTGAGATGGATTTGTCCCCCTGGATGGTGCTGTAATCTCTGGCCTCCTGTACAGTGCATGAGAGAGAGGCCAGTTGCTGTGAAAGGCCTTTTAGCAACACAGCTCATTTAAAGGGGCAAGGTCTATACACAATGATGGAATCGCGCATGCTGCTTGTGCCCACAGGTCGACCCTGCAGTGTATCCGGACTATGGCGTGCGAGTATGCGCTCTGCTCACTCTTTGTCCCGGGAGATCGGCAGGTCATCATAGGAACTAAGGTAACTGGTGGTTTTCAAACTGTGGGTCACGACCCAGTACTGGGTCACGGGATGTAAGGCACTGGGTCGTGGTGACTCTGATTAGCACCACTGCCCAAGCCATTAAAAGACCCGGTCAGTGGTTCTGCCCAGCTAAGGCAGGCTAGTCCCTACCTGTTCTGACACCGCACTGCGCCCTGGAAGCAGGCAGCAGTAGGTCCAGCTCCTACGTGGGGGGGCCACAGGGCTTTGTGCGCTGCCCCCGCCCCGAGCACCAGCTCTGCACTCCTATTGGCTGGTTCCCGGAAGGAAGCTTGCCCTATCACCCCCGTGGCACCGTTGACCGGGAGCTGCCTGAGGTAAGACCACACCCAAACCCTGCGTCCCAGCCCCCTGCCCCAGCCCTGAGCCCCTCCCAAACCTGGAGCCCCTTCCTGCACCCCAAACCCCTCCCTGACCCGCCCCGCCCCACACCTGAGCCCCCTCCCGCACCCCAAACCCCTCATCCCCACAGCCCACACCCCCACAACCCAACCCTCTGCCCCAGTCCTGAGCCCCTCCCACACCCCAAACCCCTCATCCCCAGCTCTGTTGGGCACTGGGCATCAACAATTTTCTTCAACTTGGTCACCAGAAAAAAAGTTTGAAAACTGCTGGGCTAGGGAACCTTCCTAAAAACTTCCACCATTGCTAGTACTGGTTCAGCTCCACTTGTGTTAGCAACATTAGCAGCCTTAATGAAAATGGGCAGTCCCTGGTGATCACCACTGCTCTGGGGCCCTCTTCAGAGCATGTCTGATTGGCTTAGTGCTGAAAGTGCCTGTGGCAGCTGGTGCCCTTTCTACCCTAGGTGTAGCTCGTGTGGGTTGAGCTGGCTGGTGTTAGCAATGGTGGGATGTTTTTGAAAATGTGATTGGCTGTGTCTAGTGGCCATCGAATGCTTTGAGGGCCAGAGACAGGGGTGCAGCAGGTCAGGAGTGAGGTGTATCAGTGGAGCTGCATGTAGAGATTCCAGGCCAGGGGCAGCTGGGGATGCTGCAGGCCAGCAATGTATCCTCTGTGCTGAGTCCATGGACGGAGCTGGTGCCTTCCTCCTGGCTGCCAGTAGGATTCTGCCTTGGCACCAAGATGCTCCTCTCACACTTCATTTTGTTCTGAGAACTGCCATTTTCCTCCTCCCAGTTATGTCTCTTTAACTTAGCTGGGCTCCGCTGCTGCTGGCTGTCTTGTTCCCCACTGCGATCCCTGCTCCTTTATCACAAATCCTTCTGTCTCTGGGACTCTGTGCTTCAAGTTATCACACCCTGTTTGCGGCTCAGGCCTGCAGCCTGGGCTTTGGATCTGTTCACTGCATCTCAAGCTGTCTTGGCATGTACTGGAGACAGAATAAAGTTGCTAACTTGCTCTCTGTCAATTTGTCTCCCCAGACAGGGAAGCTGCAGCTGTATGATTTGGCCTCTGGGAGTCTGCTGGAGACACTTGCAGCGCACGATGGGGCCCTGTGGTCCATCTCCCTTTCACCAGACCAGGTAACTTTCTTTTAGTGGTAGGTCTGCACTGCTCTCAGGAAGCCTGTGTCTAAGGGGTGGCTTTGGGGATGCAGAAGTTGGCATTGTAGGGTTTTGATGTGGGAGGTGTTCATCACCTTTGCACTTTTGTTTGGCATTATAAAACCTGCTGCTGTTCAGTTCTGCACACCTGAATCTGTCTTGGTAGTACACCTATAGCCCTCTGCTGTTATCGTCTGGGATGTCATTTTGTGTGTTATCAAAACAGTGACAGCTCATTGCCTTTCTGGAACACTTCTCATCTGCAGATCCTAGAGCACTAGGAAGACTTTATACCTGATCCCAGTAGTGTAAATATGCCCCCTGGAAATGCGATTCTACAAGCAGACCATTTCTGTGTGATTGATACGGTGTTCTAGGTGCAATGATACGGTCGCATGGGTTTTCATCCTACACAGCGAGCGTACACACATCCACTATCTACAGCAGATCAGTCAAGTTGACCCTTGTTGCTCCAGAAGGTTGTCAATATACCAGACAACCTGCTGGTACAGGCTACATCTTGATTTATCCTGCCCACTCCACCATCTTAAGTTCATTCCTCCTGAAAAAATCCTGTCTGCCAAAGCCTTTGAAATCCAAATGTGTTTGTGTCTTCTGCCCAGTAAATAAAAGTTCTGTGTTCCTACTGAACCAATGGTCAGTGTGACCTGCTCTTAGCCTTCATGCTGTAGGAACTTAAGATCTAGGCTGGGTCTTAAGGTCTTATGAACTTAAGTTCTTGTCTGGAACTTAAGAGCTAAAGGCTCCTCAAGTGTATGGACCTTGCTTTGGGTGTATTATTCTTCCTGAGTGCAGTGAAAGTGCTCTTGCTTGCTTTAATTTTAAACTTCTTTCTCCTTCAGCGTGGCTTTGTAACAGGAGGTGCTGATAAATGTGTCAAGTTTTGGGATTTTGAGCTGGTGAAGGATGAGAATGGCACACAAAAGAGGTGAGAAAAAAGTCTCTCTGGAGGCAGCATTCCATCTCTGCATTCCTTCTCCCTGCTTGATGGTTTGGCCGTAGTTGGGGTGGAGGGGGGAGGAGAGAGAGAGAGTGTGTGTGTGTACACACAAAGGTCTGAGCCCACATACTGCTGGCAGTTAATGCAGCTGAATGCAGGATTCTCACCACAGCTCTAGTGCCTCCCAGCTAGAATTGAGCAACGTTTGTTGACTAAACTGAAATGTTTGGCGGAAACAAATATCTGTTCTGACAAACTTCTTCATTGGGAAGGTTTCTCAGTCCAGGATGGTACCGAGTGACACAGCATCTGAGTGATTCACTCTGCACCCTAGGGTTTAGAGCACTCTCACCTGGTATGTGGGAGACCCAGGTTTGTATTACCGAACCGCTAAGTTATAGAGTGAGTCACTCAAAGTCCCTGCTCCAAATCAGGCAGAGCAAGATCTGACCCTGGGTTTCCCACATCCCAGGTGAGTGCCCTGACCAGGCAATCAGGTGTTCTGAGGATGGGTCTCTCATTTGTTCAGGAGAAATTTTGCACATTCTTGTTTTCATTCTGCGTCGGAGTGAAACCAAATTTTTGAAAGCCCAAAACTTTTTGTGAAGCAGAATTGTTGTTTTCCGGCCAGCTCTGATTCCATTCTCTTTGCAGTCTTGTGTTGCTGAGGATTTGTGGATTTGTTGAGTCCTACTCACGATCTCTCGTGGGATTCCCCAGCCCTCCTCCACATTTTAATTGCTTCATTTCATTGCACCTTACTCTCTTAATTTCCCAAAGTGAGACTGAGTGACCTTGTGCTACTTGCTGCATTCTGTGAATCTATTCCCTGCCATGCTGAATTCAAGTCACTTTTGGGTCACTGGTTTCAATTCTTCTTCAGTCAGATTCTCCCTATAGATGAGTGATAGATTGGTCAGTGAAATCCATATGTGCACAGCTCCCGGCTCATTTCAGTCCTGCTTCATTCCAAGAGTCAAGGAAGGTGGCTGTGCGTTGGAATAAGCTTGTGAGTTTGTGTTTACACCCTTGGCGCTCTGCGTACAAGGACAATGATGCTATTTTCCTCTTGGCCGTTGCCAGGCTCTCCATGAAGCAGACACGCATCTTGCAGCTGGATGAGGACGTTCTCTGTGTGCGTTACAGCCCCAACCAGAAGCTGCTGGCCATCTCCTTATTGGATTGCACTGTGAAAATCTTCTACACAGACACGCTCAAGGTGGCCTCTTGCCTGGGCTGGATGGAGGGGTTGGGGTGAGAGTTGGTGTGGGGGGCAGTGAGGAGAGGGGGCTGACTGGAGCGGTGTGGGTTGGTTGCTGGAGCAGAGCTGCTGGCTTACCTGGTGCAGTCGCTGTTGTTGTATGGGAATGGTGTCTGAAGCAGTAATGTAAGGCTGGAGAGAATTGGAGGGGCATTTATTAATTAGTTGGCCAATAATAACAAATGGAGAAGCCTGCTGACTTCTGGTTCTGGTCCCTATTTACTGACCAGAATCCCACCAAACGCTGGCCAGAATTCAGTGGGAAATCTGCATTTAAACTGGAAAAAATAAAAAAATAAGGCCCTCCCCTGGCTACAAGTGTCCTGCTGCACTGGAGGACAAGGCCAGTGGTGGTGGTGCCCTCCCCACTCAGTGCAGGAGCCTTGTGGGCCCCCTTCCCATCTTTCTCTTGCTCCTCCTCCCTATGTCTGTGAAGAGATTTGGGGGTGTGGCTAGAGCACCTCTTTGACAGCTCTCCTCCAGTTAACACGCAGGCACCAAACTCTGAAGCCAATGCCGGAGGGAGAGCCTCCCTGCATGTGAGAGCAGGCCCCCTTCCTGTGAGTAGTGCCTGACAGTCAGATGGTCCTTGGACTAGTCAGTGAAACAGACCAGCATATGATGCTTAGGAGCTGCACATAAAATGCTGACAGATGCACAAAGAAATCCAAGCGAAAGACGTGGTCTCCTCTCTAATCTGTCAGTGATCTTGGGTATTGTTCCTAACAGTATCAGCTGCCTGCCGTCTTCCCTGTAATCATAGGCCAGCTGCTAATCTTCACTGTGAAGGTGTTTGGAAGCGCAGGCACCTCAGAATGTAGGACAGAGCAGCAGGCTTTCAAAGTGCTGTGCCCAGCATTTCTAACTAGATCCATTTCCTATTTCTTTCTAGTTTTTCCTGTCTCTGTATGGACACAAGCTGCCGGTGCTCTGTATGGATATCTCCTATGTGAGTGAAGTGGGGGCTGCTCACAAAAGATCTTCAGGAAATCTGCCGATGTTTGTGGCCTTAAAAACTGACCACAGCCTTGCTTGGGAATAGAGCTAGGCAGGGCCCTCTAGCATGGTGATTCCTAAGTGGACTTAAAAATCACCCAACTACCCACCTGAACTTGATAGGACCCAAACTAATCCTCACCCATTCCGCAGTCCTTTGCTAGCTGCAAAGGATTGTGGGATTAGGTCATGACAAGAACTCACAAGTGAATTTTGGGTGGAGGAAAGTTTCTGTAGAGTTCGCCCCAACATTTCCCAGCCCCCCCATTGGCTGCTTTGAGATGTAATACAGCTGTACGTCCTGAGCTGGTGGATGGAGACTAGTTTCTTTGGCCCTTGCTCATTAGTCATGTACTGTTCAATCCTAGCGGCCAGCTGAGAGGTCATTGTAATCCCTTCCGGGTCAGTCAGTCAGTCATGCCCCTTCTCTCTGCTTTGCTTGGTGTAGGACGGGGCCTTAATTGCAACTGGCTCTGCTGATAGGAATGTGAAGATCTGGGGCTTGGACTTCGGCGACTGTCACCGGTCTCTTTTTGCTCATGATGACAGGTAGGCCCTGGTGTGTGTGGGCTGCAGACCCCTCACCCAGAGAAGTGGGATCCACTGATCTTTGCCCTGGCGGTGAATTTTCTCCAGTGCTCCTGCGGGGGTGGAATGTGGGCCCCTGGCCTCCTGTGTGTGGCACTGCGTAGGCACCAGAGTGGACAGGCACATCTTCCTGAGCAGTGGTTCTGAAGCACTGGTCTGTGGCACAAATGGTGGTGCCCCCGGCTCCCCATGCTTCCTCAGCACATTGTTCAGTGCTCATGCCCTGCTATGGAGCTCGGCTGAGCTCCGCTGGGGTAGAGCATGCAGGAGAGCGGAAGGCAGCAGAGGCTGGTACAGTTGATGTCTTAGTCTGGTAAATCTCTTCCTCCTACCTCCTGGAGTCCCTGCAATGCCCAGGGAGTGCTGCCGCGGGGCAGGCAGAGAGGATGCTGCTGTAGAAAGGGTGTTGGCTTCAGATATTTCACGGTCTCCTTTCCTGCCTGTGTGATGGTGATCCCTTTCTGTCACTCTCCAGTGTGATGACCCTCCAGTTTGTGCACAAGTCCCATCTCTTCTTCACGGCCGGGAAGGACCACAAGATTAAGCAGTGGGATGCGGATAAGTTTGAGCACATCCAGACCCTGGAGGTAAAGGGTTTCAGAGAGTGACTCAGGCCTGGGCAGCCATTTCCCCTAATGACTGGGAGCATTGGTGGTGGTCATGTCTCACCTCTTCCCTCTGACCTGTAGGGACACCACCAGGAGGTGTGGTGCTTGGCACTCAGTCCAAGCGGAGACTACATCGTGTCTTCATCGCATGATAAATCCCTCCGCCTTTGGGAAAGGACAAGGGAGCCACTCATCCTGGAAGAGGAGAGGGAGATGGTAAGAGCATTAGCCTTTCCTTGTGGTCTCCTACAAGAGACAATTCCACCCTAGTTTCTCCTCAGCCACTAAATGCCCCTTCTTAATCTTCAGAGGATCTTACACAGCACCTAAGAGATCTCTGCTCACTGTTTACCTGTGTCTGGGAGTAAGATGCCCAGAGGTGACGGGAGGATTCCAGGGGGATTGCTAGTACTGCAGAGAGAGGCACAGTTGCCTCCAGCATTATCTTCAGGTGGCTCAAGATTGCATTGGCCGTCTTTTCTTTTCTCTTTCCCTGCTATATTGCATTGCAAACTCCTGGCTAACATGCTCTCTGCTATGCTGCTCCCCAGGTTTCCCTCCAAGTAGATGTTTTGTTTTCCCCAGGAGTACTGGCTGCATCTTCTCCTTTTGTTTTTTCCCTTCAGGTCTTTCTAAGCTCTGCAGGCCCCTCTTAACTTTCTGCCCTCCGTGGTGTTTGGGGGACTTTCCATCAGTGACAGCAATGGGGAGTTTGTTAATTAGCTGTAGTGTGCACAGGTTGCTCCGTTCCTTAGTGTGAGAGGCCCATGCAACCTCTCCACCTGGGCCTGCCCTGGTTGCTGTGGTCATCACTACAACTAACAGACCCAGGACTCAGAGAGTTGAGGGCAGTACCTTCTCAATAGTAGGCCCATGGCTCAGGGGAGCTGGCAGAGGCCTACCTTGCCTCTTGAACTTGTGCTTCAGGGTTCACCTCTTCATCAAAGCACTCCCCAAAGAGCCAGTGCAGGAGAGCATGCCTGGCAGCATTTGCAGAGGAGGAAACCTAAGAGTCGGTGATGTCTGGCCTGACTCTTCTGTGGGGATTTTGCTGTGACCCTTAGACAGCACCTCGATACCCCCGGACTGGCCCATTAGAAATGCTGGTGGCTGTAGGATGATAGATAAGCCTGCCAGAGGGAGGTAGATGCCTTTTTCTTAGGGGAGCTTATCATACATCTCTTCCATGCGCTCAAGAGCAATGAGTTGGCCCTTTCATGGGGAAGCCACAGCTCTGGACACCAGAGGATGAATTAAACAGTGCTAGGGCCATGCTACTGTGAGAGGTGCCAGTCAGGCCCTGCTGGGACTGCTCTTTCCTGAAGGATGGGCTGATGTCAGGACCTTCCCAGTCTTGTTCGTGCTGGGCTGTGTCTCAGGAGGGAGCAGCTGTATCTGGATTGTCTTCATTTCGGTTTGACTAGCTGATGCTAGTGATCTCTTTGGGCTGCCCCTGTGTGCACAGCCTTCAGACTTGTTCCCCCGCCTGCATAGCAGATGCCGGAGCTGTCACTCAGACAGCCCTGCGGTGGTGAGCACTGGTGTGATAGTGCAAGTCAAACCCACGGTGTTGGCCTCCTGAGCTCATGCTGGGCCATTGGAGGAAAACAATCTGGGAACCTGCATTGGGCACCCTGCCAGGGGTGTTCCAGTTTTGAGATTGGGTGGCAAGGTTCACACGAGGCCACAGCTTTCCTGGGAGGAAGTTGAACGCTTTCATTCTCACTGTTTTACCCGCGCTACCTGCCTATGTTAACGTATTGCTTTCTCCTTCGCTGCAGCAAAGGGAAGCTGAATACGAGGAGAGCGTGGCTAAGGAAGAGCAGCCTGTGGTGAGTAGAACTGCCTGGCCAGCAGAATATTAAGCAGACTGTAAAATGCTCATAAGCTAGTCTGGATCTGTACTTATGAGAGACTCATAAGGAACGCTGGGGGGGGAATCTAGTTCGCTGGTACTGGACCAGTATAGAGCTCAGGGGAGCGTGCCACTGGAGATGCTGGCTTATAGGAGATGGAAGCCAAGGCACTCATTAAGGAGTTCTGGGTCCTTCTTGCAAGAGCGAGAGGTCCTGGCCTTATTCCAATATAGTAACTACAGTCTGTGAATCCCAATCCCTGCCTTCTCTCCATTTCGTACATCACCAGTTCAAATCCATGCTGGGTCAGCAGTGTCCAAGGGTTGGCTCTTTAGTGCCTTTGTTACATGAGATGGATGGGAAGCAACGTGTTTAGTGCCTAGGGCAGGAGGCTTGAGTTCTTTTGCTGACTTTGTCACAGCCTCACTGTGTGACCTTGGTTAGCTCCCTCTTCACCTGTCTTTCCCTATCCAGAAAGTCACCTGCCTCACGGGGCCATGGGGGTTAATACTAGTATGGTGCTTTGGGACTCGGGGGGTGAAAGCAGTTTATTTCTATATCAATCCATTACCAGTGTAAAGCAACAATACAGGGAACTTGATGGAAAGCCAAGAACATGAGGCAGGGGAAGGCATTGAGCTTTAATATGCAGCATTGATGTTGACTGTGGAAGAGGTTTGAGCTGCCTGGCAGCTGCATTAGCCGCTTTGCTGCCTAGTGGGAAGGACTGTAGCTTGAGACATGTCTTGTGTCTTGTAGGTGGCTGGCGAGACCCAGGGAGAGACTGGATTAGCAGGAAAGAAAACCATTGAAACTGTCAAAGCGGTAAGTTGGTGTGAGTGTTGCTAGTTCTTTTCTTGGTGCTCCAGTGTTACTGATTAGGCCAGCAGACTCCCTGGAAGGACTCATGCTTTGAGGAGTAGACATCTGAGATGTAGGGCATAGAAGCAGACTTTCCCTAATCAGGCAGAGCAATGTCACCTCCTCAGCTCGGTGAAGGAGTTTGAGTCCGTCCAGAAACGTGCCAGGTTGGTGCCTCCCAGGGAAGTACTGAGGCCATCTCTCTCTCTGGGACATACCCCAACTAGCCAGCTGGCACCAGGGATGAATGGATTCATTTCCTTTTTGTAAACACAGAATTAAAAGCTTTGCATACTCTTTTGTTTAAGCCAGTTGGCTCCATAGGCATGCCCCTGTGGTAATGGGATGCTCCACCAGAAGTGTAGATTTTTGCTATGCGTTAACAGGGTGTGTAGGTCTAGCTAGTCGGGCATCCTGCTCCTAGCCAATCCCCGATACTTCAGAAGAAGGTGGAAATGTCTCATAATGCCCCTTGGCAATTGTACAGTGTTGTGGGAGGGTGGGGTCCTGGGGATCCCCCCGACCCCTGCAGCAATCAGCCTGAGGCTTGGCTACTCTTACCTTAGCAAGTAAAACTACAGAATTTAATGGTCAAAACTGACCAGCCCAGTATTCTTCTTGAAGAGAGAGTGCTTTGAGGAGTTATTCCTGACCAGCAGGCTGGAATTGCCTGTAGATGTCAGAGGAGCACCTTGAGAGAAACACAGCACCTCAGCAAGCTGGGGAATCCTGAATGTTGATTAATTGGCTAGTGCAGGTCACATGGTTTCTACATACTAACTAGTCAGTGGTGCCATGTTTGGAATCTCATGGAATGCTCGTAAGCTGATAAATAAGAGCTCCCCCACCTCAGCATCCCCTCCCCCCGGTCCTCGCAATCAGAATATGAGCTCTGCTTTCAGTGACTGATGTGCTGCTTTTGTCCTGCACAGGCTGAGCGGATCATGGAAGCTATCGAGCTGTACAGAGAAGAGACTGCAAAACTGAAGGAGCACCAGGCCATATGTAAAGCTGCTGGGAAAGAGGTGAAGAGACCTGGGCATGGATATACCCAGTGGAGTGTGAATATCTCCAGCCAGCTCCATTACCTCAGGGAAGAAGCTAAGCAGGCAAATAGAGTTGTGGCAGCTAGCGATGGTCAGTGAAATCCATCTCCTGGCAGAAGGGCAGCATCATTCCCTAGTGCACAATTAGCAGTGCATTTTCTGTTCTGGTTTTTAATGTCCCAGACTGCACTGGGGCTTCTGCCTCTTCCCTTGGGGAGATTATTCTATTGCCTAATAGAAATCTCTGCCAGGAGGTTTTTCCTATCATCCAGCCTAGCTGTTTGTTCTGACCTTCATCCCATTATTGCTAGTTATATGGGAGGCTGCTGGCTGGCTGGGTGGGAAAGAATGGAGATGTGTAAGACAAAATGCCCTGTGTGTTCTGAGAATTATACTGCTCTGGCTACAGAAAACTGCCTCTCTGCGTGGGGGTAGCTGGAGGAGTTCCAGGTAAAGGCCTGACAGTGTCTCTTACTGGAAAGTGTGTGTGTGTGTGTGTGTGTGTGTGTGTGTGTGTGTGTGTGTATATA